TCTTAGATTCTTGCTAGAACCCATTCCCCGGAAACAACGACAGATAAGGTTGTCTGGCGTTGGGGTTCCAGGCTTTCGCGCATTAATACACAATCAAGTACCGAGCAAATTTACTCAACGGTTTCGGGACTCAGAAACCATACAGTTAGACCATGCTCTATCCCAAATAAGATCAGCTCGTTGAGTAGACGCTTTAAGAGTTTTAACACACGGCTGAAGAAAGCCGACTTAGCGCTCGAGTTGTGCATGACATCGGTGCGAGCCTTTGGTTTAGGAAACAATAACAGAAGGTGGTAATTCAAAAGGAACTGATAACTGCGTTCCTGTTTTGGTATGTAGACTGTAGACTCAAATGACAGCGTATAAGAACGAACCTGGTGCGTCAGCATATGGGCCTGTCAAGTTAAATGCAATCTGTTTCTAGCAAAAGGATGACTTGTACGGCGCCTACACAGAACGAGGGGAGAGAAACCGCTCACATGCCTCTTTGCATCAAATTTCGGGGGAATCAAGTTGAACATTTAATTGCGGGTTGGGTTAAGTTTTCGATATGCCTTAAGGTTAAGGTCAAAATTCGGGTTGGAATGAGGATTATAGTAGGGGTTAAGGCGTTAGTACTTAGTAGCTGTAGGGTTTAGCTTCATTGTGGGCCACGCTTAAGATTAGAGTCAAAATTTCTTTTTATTTTAGGGTTAGTGGTAGGGTAGAACGTGGAAATATTTCCGCTTCTGGAAGGTTACCACGAGACCACTTGTTTTACGTGGGCGGACTATTTCTATTCCCGTGTCCTGGTTAGGAGGCCATACAATTTTCCCTTGCCATTTCTAGTTTCCATTGCGGATTCACGAGAGATTGTTATGAGGTTTGTCCTCCTTAGAAGCCCTGATCCCTCCGCTTCATCTCACAAACACGTGTCCCAGTCGTGGTTACGAGATGTCTGTGATTGTCCTAATACTACTTCCGGTATTTGAATGAGCTACCAGAGGAAAGCAGTAGGTGTTATAACGGTGGCCAAAAGGGCTACGATATTCCCGTCTGACTAACGCCTCGTGTGAGCCCCGAAGGAAGAACACAACAAGAGAGCAGAAGTCTTCGAAAAACCTAGTACAGCAATAATTTAAAGCAGGCGGAATGCGGATGCACAAGTTGGGCCAATAAGATGGTAGTCACAAGAAGGACATGCATTCATTGGCTGGTGAGTCATGGGAGTTGACGTGCTAGTCTGAACGAGACATCACACAATGCCCTTGAGTGGTGGGGCTTGGTAACGTGACAGCTGTGTTAGCATCCTGCTCCGGCCGCACCTGCGTAGGAATCGCACAGATGGCTTCCGACGACAAGACAGAGACAGACATTTCCTGCGATTACTGTTGGCTTTGCGCTAAATTTCAGGGAAATTAGAGTTTCCGTTCCAGGTAGAGTTACGGTTAGCGGTGAAATTAGGGTTACAGTTAGTGTTAAGGTCGGGTTGCAGGGATATTTACTATTCTTGGAAGTTGACGTAACGCTACCTGTATGAATTGGATGCCTTCCTATTACCGTGACCAGTCCGGGGAGGTATATTGGCATTTGCGAACAATAACTCTTTCATGCTTGAAAAATTCGAGTGTAAGCCGCTAAGGAAATAAGTTATCAGTACCTTACAATCGAATTTCATGTTTGCTCACGGCCAATAAATTTAGTGTGCTTAAAGTAATACACACCCACAGACCTTGCGTTCCTTTTTAACATATCCGATGAGCAAAGTAAGGTGAAATGTTAGTGCGCAATTATTCTTCCAAATACATTTTGCTCTTTCGGCACTCGAAACGACGGGTCCCACAGCTCCGTATGCGTATACGGCATAACACATTGTGAGATGATACATGAAGAGCAGTCTATGCATATGCACTTGTGAATGAATTAACGCTCGCTTTATCGCTTGCTGCAAAAATATCTCAACAAAAGCGGCAAAACTAACCCTGATCCTTTGACTGCCATGGAAAGCTCGTTTTCAGAGTCTGTTCGTTTTCAGTCCGAGAAAGCGTGGGTGGTCTCTGTGAGCGTCGCAGTTCGGAAAGCTTCGGAGCCTTTGATCTGTTCAGCGGAGAAAAGGAGGAAGACTGCGATTTATAGACATAATAACAGGATGAGAGCATACCACACAAAGCCATTATGAGATTCATATTTATTAGTCCTGATCATTTGTTAAGATGAAGATAATTTCGAGTGTTGGAGGTCTATAGGTTATGTACAGGAAATTGCATTTGAACAACAACTACAGCAGCTTCGGATTTCTGGAAGTTAACCCGGCATGAGTAGGGCAACCATTTCATTCGACAGGCTTTCGCTTTCAGTTAGAGCAAAAGCAGGAACTTAGGTCTCAACCATAGAGCAAACCTGCGGTAGACTCTTATCTAGGGGAAACACTTGCGTACACCTTCTTGATTTGCAGTTTCATTACCAACGTTAGTCATAGTCAGTCATAATCTTCTAAGCCTTCGATTGAAGAGGACTTTATTCCTGAACCTTCCTTATCCAGGTCCATTTTCAAAAAAGACAAACAAAAACGTGTAAATTTACGGGGTCAGTGTGGCCTGTAATGGATCAGCTCGCGCCCATCTGCCATTGCGTATATTTCCGATCGAAAGCGGCAAGACAACCAGCCCGTGACGCAGTGGCTAGAGTTTCGGACTTCTAACTAACAAGGTAACGGGTTCGAACCACGGATGGTACACAATTTGGGGTTGGGTATGATGGGCTGACAACGATAAATAAACCAGCAATAGTCATCTTAGTCTCCCTTGATAGTTTCGGTAATGTCCTTCCGCCTATATATTAACGTATATATAATTCGAAACTATAACATGACGCGTAGGCTTAAAAACATTCAATACTATGCTCAAACTCGTGTTTTACAGGTGGCCTGGCGCTTAAATACGGGACAAGGTGTTCATCTGCGAAATCCTAGAATTACACCTAGCCCTACCTCAAAGTTTGACCCAAACCCTTAATTTATCAACAACACAAACTAAAGCCCTGTTTTAACCCTAACAGTCACTCCAATCCAACTGCATTTTTACTTGGTGCAGTCTGCTTTTAGCTCGGCGCCCTTTAACGTTTTTAGACAGGACTGAAAGAATATGAGTTCTCGGCCTTTTCGAAGATATCCTGGAAAACCGCTGCCATCTCCAGTGGGCAAAAACTAAGAAGCTGCATGAATAACAGACATTAAAATGCGCATAGGACCTACGTCAATCTCGCAGAAGCTGCTTCGCCGGGTTCGAGGTCCTTTGGGAGGAGAAGGAGGAAGAAAAGAAGGAGGACGAGGAGGAGAGAAGGAAAGAGACGACTGATTAATCGTTCCAGAATAGCAAAATATCTAGAGTGGCAGAGGACATGGGGGAATAAAGACTTGTGCCTCCACCCTCACCTCCTACGCAACTAATAAACGAATGTTAAGTCTGTCATCTGCGCATGAATTATTATGCACAAGTTTTTTTCGCTAATTTAGACTTTTCTACTTAATGGTATCGGCGAGCTTATCAGAAGTTCAGGGCAGAAAACTTTGTAAAAAGTGGTCAAATGAGGAGATATGTGCCTAAAGAAATATCAGACGAAGTGTTTCAGTATGTTTTCTAGTCAGGAGGATTATTTAATCAAAAGTGGTTGCATTTATTATCGTATAACACAACCATAATGTATGTCAGCTTCTGAATGAGTTTCTTTCCGGCTTCCTATAACAGCCATACTAGGTAAAAATAATTCAGACAGATGGAATTTTCATTACCTTTAAAAACTTACATAGACATCATAGGAGCAATGTTAATGAATATATTTTTGCCTGCTCACTCTGAAGAAGATAACATCTTCAAATTTTACATTTCAAAGAGAAATTCAATTTCCCTCTAAAAAGTCCGTACTCATGGGATTTTCTGAGACCATTTAATGTCTTTTCATCCAGAAAGGGGACATTAGTTCCAACTTTTTTTCTCAAGAGTGAATTAAATACCCGGAAAGGTTGAGTTTAGTGGTTCGCAGCGTTTCTCTGTGGTCCTTTTTAACGGCAACAAAGTTGGCACCTGCGTATCATATGCAGACTTTAGGCTTACCTGAATTAATAGCCATTGATTCCAAGTCCTGTATTTTTACTCCCATTTCTGGATGCTTTCAAAAGCAACTGCCAAATCTTTCCCAGAAGGAGTACCGTTAATTGTCGGCTACTTCGAGCAAAAACAAATTGCTCTGACGAAGAAAGTTACCGACTTAACTTACCTGTTTGAATTATTTTCCCAACTGCTTAGCCTGTCGATGCATGAAAAAAATGTGCCCAATGAAAAGAAATTAAATAACTCCAAGCAAGCGCTCCAAACGAATACACGACAATGAGTTTGCACTCGGTGAAAGACAATTTTAGAAACATCAAATAAATGTGGCGCACAAACCAACGAACAAAGCTTACACACCCTAGGAAACGGTTTGCTATTTTGACAAAAAAGAAGTCTCCATCAAAATTCTGTGCGGCACCTGCGATGCCAGATATTGTGGTTAAACGAGAAAGTTTGCCCTCGCACACATTTGCGAACATCAACTAACAGGAAAGGGACATGGTCATCTGTCCAAAATAATGCCGCACACCCCTGATTCGAAGAAAACTTTGTCTCGGATAAAAGTAGCATAGGCGAGCTATATCCCTGCAGAGTCTGATACTCTGTTGAAGCCATACACTATGATGAACTAGGCATCAATCAACACATGGAGTTAGATGCCGTCTGAACAAATCTCTATGGAAGACGGAAAATACCAGACTCAATCAATTCAGACTGACGCACAAGGCGCAAATATTAAAGGAATACCGATCTTTAAGCACCTTTGAAATGTTTTTTTGCATACTTAAAGCTGACAATAAACTGTGTAACCAGCGTCGAAAATGTACCAATACAGCCTAATAGGAAGTAGACAGTTTCTCTTTTTTTGGATGCTTTCGTCATACTTCGATGTACAAATCTTTACGGTAACCATTTTGGGATAATAAGTCGTATAGATAATTTAGTTCGGATAGATAATTTTATTCGACATAACAATGCGTTTCTTTTTGATTTAGCAGGCTGCTGAAGGTACTACTCCGGTGAGAGGCTGAGCCTCTGCTCTCGTAAGACATAATATATTTCCTAACTTGTTTATTTGCTGTCGAAGAATGTGCGAAATGTTCTGCCAGTCTTTCGCTGTGCGAGAACATCCTACAAATGGAAGTTTAGTTTCATACTCTTTCCCGAGGAATAAATGGCCCTTAGGGTTTAGCTAATTATAATACTGAAAAAGACTCAATTTAGAGTTCTCGCAGGCATTCACATAACGACTAGTGATAGTGTGATTGGGTATGACTGATTAATGACGGCCAAGAAGCCAGAAATGACCACTTAGGTCTCCGCTATTTTTAAGGGTACCACCTCATCTTCGTATATCACAAATCGCTATAAGACCACCCAAAGAGGCTCTAGGTTAAGCTCCAAATAACAACAGGGCGAGCATGTTCCATAACCATATCATAACTAAGGCATATGTTCACGAACAGGGACGTTCACCATTCTCCTGTAATTATATGGTGATCTAGTAGGGGCAAGGTTTACTGACTTCAGAGAATAAGTTCGTCGATGCACACAAATATGTACACATGAGTCTCGTGTTACAAAATTCTTGGGAGGGGTAACAAACGCTACTTTGTAAATTTTTCGACGCCTTTATTCAGTTCCCTACCAAACGTAGGACTAATATGCAAAACAGTTAAATGTTTTAATGGAACTTAAAATCGATACTTATTTAGTATTTGCACCAATCGACGGTCACTGCATACAACATGCCGTTTGGATCAGCCATTATCTCATCAGTTTCCCCTTGAGATATGTCCATGCGGGATAAAAAAATATGTCGATTGAGGCATGATTCATCCGAGTTTATGGCCGCGAGAATTCTTTGCCTTTCTTGAAAAGCCTGACGCCGAAAATGAGGGGGTTACGTCAAAGGCAAGTGTGGTCACATCTAGGATATGCGTGATCGTTTTTTAAATACGGTCTTGCCTCTTTGCAGTTAGCAAAAGCTCATGATTGCGTGGATTTTACAGTTTTACCACAATATACGGCATCGCAGGCATCGCCTGGCGTCTAGCAAACTATTTCATTCTTATCTAACTAGTAAATCATATCCTTGGTGGGAACAGGCTGTGTGCATAATGTAGTCTTTAGTGTGTGTGTGTGTGTCTCCTGTATGTGCTGTTGCTTTTGCGCCCACCTTGCATCAGACAACTGACCGGTAAGGATAGTGGCCTGAGGCTGGAGGTGAGAGAGGTGGCTCAGCGCACTTTACTCACTAAAAAACAATCTCACGCTCTTGAAGCTTGCACGGTGCACTAAAACCCGGGACTTGGAGAGTTGCCAACTGACGGGCAACCCGGGCCGTGCGGCCAGCCCAGTGTGTGTTGTGTTGTGTGGAACCGTTGAGCGGTAGTCTGAGGGTCAGGCTGCAATGGCTCCTTCTGAATGT